CCGTACATACTCCAATAACAGATTTAAGCATGTTACTAATAGCACGTTTCATAGCTGTAGGACTGCTGAGTTGGCGTTAACGAGTGTGTCTTTGCGCTTTCCTTGCGGTGCATTTTATGTGAATGATAACATCAGAGGGGTTTAGATAGGAAAGCCATCCAACGCGAGGAATTTCCCTAGTTATTTGACGCGCTGCGACTGCTGGTTCAGAATTCTGGGACAAATAGTATTATGCAGCAGCCAACGATGTAACGGCAGTACATCAACGGGCGCAAGTACCAGGCCCTTAATTCTACTCCACACAGAAGGAGCTGGGGCTAGCCTTTGACCCATGGCTAGCCGGCTTATCTGGGAGTAGAATCTCCTAGACCACTTGTAGATGTTACATTTCAAACATTGCTGTGAGAACCGATTTTTGCGTTTTGTTTAAGCCAAAAGTGTTTATATTGATATTACATATCCGACAATGCTTGAAGAGAGGTGCATTACATTACTGAACAGAAAAGTAAGAACGACTCCATGACATTTTGAGGTTCAAAGTTCTTGCTTGCAACAACTGGACAATGACGGGTGTTGGACAGATGCGAAGACACCTTTTTTAGCAATTGGCTTACAATTTTGTTAAGGAACGATGAAATTCGAGCTCTGGGTCCGCCTACGCAGCGGATCGGGCGTTTTTTGAACCCTTCTGGTGACGTAGCATGGACTCCTGGCAATGTCATTTTATGAGATTCACCTTGGATTTTTGATTCTAGTCTGGAACTTATCATCAAGGATTGCAGACTTATCTACACGAACCCGAACCCTCGTTCAATCTTTTACACTGCGTCTGGAAACTCCTTTTTCATGAACGCTGATAGATGGTATTATCAGAGAGATGCAAATCTGTAATCTCGTGAAGCAATTGAGATATCACCTCAATACTAAGGTGGTCCTATCTATCAAATACGCGTAGGACTTCAGTTGAGAGAATACGGAATTAAATTGGCCTCTGGCACTGACATAAGCTCTTTATGAAAGCATCGAGGAAACGGCGGTATCGGTATCAACAGATTAGCCGTTGTGCTTAACGCCTGGAGTAGATCGCTTTTTGTCTTTAATACCAAGCATGTCTCGCAACGCGTAAACTAGCTAGAAATTTTCGGTACATTGAAGCATTGATGTTTTGTAAAGGCGCGAACGACGGCATGAGACTGAGAAAATTAGTATCTTGAAACGATAAATGAATGCTACCAAAACCGGTAACTCCTGCCTCTTTAAGATTCGGAGCTAATGTTTTTGTGGGGCGGTTGAGTGCGGGAGGGCAGCCTTGGTTTCGTGATTCTTACGTGGTGTTCCTAAGAGTCGGTCGTACTTCTCACAAAGTGCAGATTTGACCTTAGATCGTATAGATCCACATATCGACTTTAATCCACTTCCTTTTCCATGTAAAAAAGCGTTTACAACTCTTTCGCTAGCATTACATTTCGACAGCGTGTTATACAATATCAGCTGACTTTTACTGATGGGGTGAGTATTCAATGATAGACGTTCGTTAGGATCATTCTAAGAGAGACCGCAGTTAATTCCTTTTTCTTCTTTAAAATTGTTGGTATAACGTTCGTCTTCATACAACGCTGAAGGAGGTGAAGAGTCTGCTACAATCCTCTGGTAAAGCGAATTTCATGATTTTTTAACAAATTGTAAGCCAATTGCTAATAATGGTACCTTTCTGTCCTCCCCAGTATGTCCAGTTGTTGCGAGCAAGAACCTTGAACCTCAAAGTGTCATGGAGCCGTTCTGACTCCTTTATATGATGTTCAAAACACACTGCTCTTCAAGCACTGCCGGAAAGATTAGACAAATATCAATCAAACATAACACCTTTGGCTTGAGCAAATCGCAAATATCGGCTCTCATTCAGGAATGTTTCAAATGTAACATTTTCAAGTGGTCTGGGAGATTCTACTTCCACATAAGAGGGCTAGCCACTGGTCAAAGGTTAGTCCCAGTTCTTTCTGTGTGTTTCATGAGTAGATTTAAGCCGGTACTAGCGTGGTCATTGTTGATGTTCTGCCGTTATATCGATGACTGCTGCATCATAGCATTCACCTAGTCCGAAATGGATGAATGTTTTAATTTTTGAACCAATAGTCGCAGCACATCAAACTAACCAGAGAACTTTCTCGCGTTGAGTAAAT